AAATATGTCATTATAAAATGACGCAGAAGTATAAAGTAGCACACCATAAAAAAACAACAGCAAAATCTATCTCAAAATTGTACAGGACTTCAGTAAACGTACTTAGTTACTGTCCACTATTTGAATAGAGCCTCCATTATGCAATCTCACTGCACAGCTGTATTTGACAAAGGAAAAAAAGCATACAGAAAAGAAGGCAGCTGAAGTGGCCCCTGCTGCATTAAATCAGGGCGGAGGATGCAGAATAGATGGCTAATGGGCGACCTCTTTGATAGCTGCCAATTTACAGGCATCCAAAAAAGCCTATGAGCTGGTGGGGGGCTCATACCCAGAGATCGTCACTTCCATTAAAGTAATTAGAGGGTAATCAGGATGGGGACACTTGCTATCCCCCCTTGTGCCAGCCCCTCACAAAAACCTGTTGCTAGGAAACCCAGCAGAGGGCCCGTGGAAGGACTATCAAAAACAAGTCGGCCTGATAACACATTTCTGCAATCATAGGAGACATCACTGAAAGAGAGGCTGGCAAATACAGACATCTTAATGTGTGGAAGGTGAAAGAGAGCCTACTGCGTGAATGGCTTTCCCCACAGATAGGAAATAGGTTTCTGGGGCTACAAGATAGTATTAAATGCATGATGTATGGGCTGTTACTTAATGCAATCTGGAGTGTATTCATTGCAGTAAGCCTTATGAAAAGCAAGGAAAATGGGAAGAAGCCCAGAATAGTGTCTGACGCATGTTGTGCTTTCTTTGTGTTGAGCGTTGTCAGTGGCATTTTACATGGTGCCTATGTTTTCCTCCCAGTAAGGATGTTGGTAATTATAGAGAAGAGGGCATACATGGGTTAATTATCACACATAATGAGATGAGTCTTTCTCACACACTTTTCAATCCCTCCGCTGTCTCCCCCTGTTGTCCTTCCTCTTATCTCACCACCTCTCTCTCTATCAGACTATTTGCGCCGCTCCTGTATTCGCCCTCTCTCTCCAACTCGCACTAATTGGTATACATTTGCTTTGCTAATTGATGATTCTTCTGTCTTTGTGAATTACCCCCAGGGGTGTGGAGTGAAATGTCCTGCAGGCCTGGATGGCGCCTGGCTGTGCTCAGAAGACTCGAGAGTGAGGGCAAGATAGAGAGCAGGAGGTGAGGGAGTGATTCAAATACTCTGAAATTGTCTCCTTGAATAAATGATGCTATAATAAGGGTATGATTCACTCGATCTGCAGCAGCGACACTACATTAGACAACAGCTGCAATGAAAACACATGTTCACTATTCCATTGAATTGAAGCCGATTCTAGTTGAATCGATTTGGTCCATAAAACATTCAGGAAAACAGTCAGAAAACATGAAAATCGATCGACAATCCAGAGTTATGTGATAGGCTGCAAACAGCTTTGATCGACTAACTAATGCAGCTTTACACAATACCTTAAACAACTTTAAGGTATTGTGTAAAGCTGCATTAGTTAGTCGATCAAAGCTGTTTGCAGCCTATCACATAACTCTGGATTGTCGATCGATTTTCATGTTTTCTGACTNTCGAACGCACTTATTGTAAGTCGCTTTGGATAAAAGTGTCAGCTAAATGCAATGTAATGTAATAATGTAATATTTGTTTCTGAGGCATCAGGTCTTTAGTGAGCGTCTTAGAAGCAGTCTATGTTGACTCACAGACAGAAGGAGTTCAGAATACAAGCTACCTTACTTGCGTGAAAGCTTAAAGACAGCTGTCCTTTAGTTACGGAAGAGCATCCAAAATACAATAATCTCAATTCATTTTTCCTGGCTTTTGGTATTTTAGCTCTTTCTCCATCCTCCCATCACCCTGTGCAACTGGTTGATGAATTGATGGTAATTCAGACGCCAACGTATTAACTAACAAACTAACAAAGCATTATGCCACAACACACCAGTATGAGAGGACAATGGATAAATACAAGGAGGAGGAAGAAGACTGAAATGGGTTTTTGTTTAAAACAACTGTGTTAGAAGTTGTTGGTGAGTCAGAGGGACACCTTTGAGCTTTCATAGCTGTGTGTCTGAGGGGGTGTAGAAGAAAGCGGTATCTTCTGGAGTTGTCTTTCTTAACCTGCACATGCTGCCACCTTTCATTAACAACCAGAAGAGTGATAATGATACGCATCTTATCACAGGCTCATCCTCCCACACAGCACTTACCCCTAGTCCCTCAAAGAGGAAGATGTAATTAATCAAGTTATTGTCATGTGTAGTGTTTGCCTGGATGTCAATCACTCGTTTAGTTTTTCAAGCAGGGAATGTTATCCCTCTGGTTAGCAGCAGGACTCTCAGGGTGAGGAGGTCTGTCTGTGTTTAGCTTGCCCAGGACAGGGCTCCTTCCATGGGCACTGGGATCCACAGGGTACAGGGGGATTACATGGCCTCATAGAGGGAATTGTGCTCTCCACTCAAGGACATAAGGTTTCAGATTTGTTTTCTTTTTGACACTTGTAAAAGATAACATTAACAACAACAAATGCAATTCTTGGAATATGCTCAAATTAGAGACGCTTTGATATATTTCATTCGTTTGTGTTGAGGAATATTCAGGATTTCAATGTTCCTCAGCTGGATTATTTGATGTTTCAGCTGACGTCTGTGCTCTTCATCAAAGACACAGGCGCACAAACAGCCCTGATACGAATCCATGTCAACTGCAACATTTAGCAGGACTAAGGGGGGAAGATGTGTACCCTCGTTTGTCAAATAGTCTCATGAATCTTTACCGATGATTGCCTGTGCATACAATGATTTCAGGGCATGGGTGTGTTTCATTTCAGCTGCTCTGACATGGTTGTGCCTGACAGTTTCTGACATGTGTCGTGTCCTATGATGACACTGAGACGGAGAGAAGGATGCAGGACTGATTGGTTCATACTGGGTCACTGTGAAGCTCCAGGAATCCATGTTGACGGCTTTGGTCCCAACATCATGTATCTCCCAAGGCGGCAGAGCACATACTGTACATGTGTCTCAGTGTCTGTCGTTATTCATTAGATTTGATGGGATCCCATCAAATAAGACTTTTAGAGTTGCCCAATATAACTATTCTGTCATAATTTAAGTACTTTGTTTTTTCTGATGTAATTACTCTTAATGAACTTATAATGTGTGCAAGAAGTTATTAAGAGCACTGATATACTGTATGTGAACCTGTATGGGAATAATGTTTTCCATCTTTCTTTTACTTTTTTTCCATGTCACTCATACTTCAATTAAATGAGATAAGATATACTTTTATTGATCCCAGTTTCGGAAATTCTTCTTCAATCTCTTAAGCATGAAGAATAAAGGAAGGCCTTAAAGCTAAAGGATGAATTACGTGTGCTGTACTCTTTATTTTCATATTGAATGGCTATTATTGATTGCTTCTGGCTTTGTTCAGAACTCTAAATCACATTATATTCCAGCGGCATAGCAGACCAATTGTTCAAATTGTTCTAAAAGCACCAAAATTGGCACACATGTAGATTAATACATTCTGAACAATTTTGGATATGGAGGCATTCAAGATTCTCCCCGTAGCAGATTTGGCGGCCATTTTTTTAAATGGCCGCTATTTACCATTAGCGTCATTGAATATGTACCATAATTTGTCTTTTTGTGGATGCTAGATAAGAGGTGATAAGTGTGCTAGAGGTGATAAGTATTGTACAATTACACATACTTGTGTGCTTACCAAATATTGATGATAGCCATTTTGACAAAATGGCTACCATTTTACAAGAAAAATGAATTTTGCAGCGGCAGCGGTGGTGGCAGTGACGGCGGCTGCAGTAATAGTATAGTGTTGGCTTTAGTCCTGGCCGAGGCTCAGCATGGGTGATATGGTGGCTCTGGAGGCCAAGTACCCATTCAAGTGTTTGTTGGCTCTTTTACTATCGTGCAAAGACAGACCCTGTAGAAGCGAGCAGAAACTGACCATGAAAGGTGTGATGTCAAGAATCGTACTGGCTGAACTGGTCCTGTATATCGAGGAAACCACCTAGAAGAGGGCATCGCCCCAGTCTTCAGACTCGCAAAATCTTGCAAAGCTACTACACGAACAAGAATGGAACAGCTCGGGGGTTGCTTGTGCAAGAATGTTAATAGCACCAAGGCTGAAGAGCGCCCTGCTACCCAGTTACCAGCACTGAGTGCCCAGAGTAAAGGCCGAGGTGTTCTACTAGCGTTTGATAAAGACATTGGTGAAGGCGCTAGGCAAAGCCCTGCGAGCAAGGACTGTGACACTGCAGGCAGTTCACCTTGGGCGTGCGCACAGGATAGTTCGATCGATTAATATGTTTGAGACATGACGATTCATGTGGATCATTCCAAGCGGTTGCAGGAGGACTCTGTGCCAAACGTACTATTGCAATGATAAAATATGGCTGCTGGATGGCCCCAGCATCAGAACCAAAGCCATTCTTCTTCGACACAAGCAGCTCTTTCATTGCGCAGCTTCTCAAGTTCAACAGTGTCAAGCAAAGACGTGAAGCAGGGAGCAATCAAGGACACAGGAGGCCTCAGCTGTCAGACACAGTACGTCTCAAGAAACTCCTCTTCCAACCTGTTGGGCTGATGCTGCATGCTGAACCACGCAAGAGATGGACTTTGGTGGACAAGCTTCTCCTCTGGGCCTAAGCATGCCCCCCTTTCCATATGACAGAGTCCTGTCGTCTTTCTGCCCCAGATGGGAAACAGCGTGTGTCAGCTTATCCACATAGAGCAAGTCGGTCTGTACGCGC